AACAATGTTAGAGAAAGGGGATTAGGAGGAAATTTCTTCTGCATTTTTAAGCCCTTTGCTGGTTAACAGCATGTTCATGAAACGCAGCAGGGAATTACGCTGCCAACTGGTGGATTTTGATTTCCCAGTGGAAATCAGCCGGGGAAGGGACAAGTTGAGGAACTGGGTGGAGTTGCCACTTGCCCAGGGGAAGGCTCCAGGCTGCCRAGCAAAATAAAAGAGCCAAATGGATGGACGTGGGTGGACGTGGCTGGTTGTGCTGCCTACGAGCACTAAGCACCGGGGGACTATTCTTCCAGCACTGGGTGGGGATAACACAGAAGATCCTGCTCCGGGTTACATGTTATTGAGGTTATGTCAATTTAAAGAGCATCTGTTCATTAAGCAGCGCGGTGGCTCTAAAGGCAGCCGAGCCCTGGCTAACACGGAGCGTGTCCCGAGTTATTACCTGCAAATCCTGCCTTGGTAACGAGGTTTGGGCGCTCAATCCCCGGCGGAAGGCAGCGCAGCTCATTAAGCGCCACAGCCCTTGTTAATTTGACAGGATGGTGTCGTGTTAAGGAGAACAAACAAGTTGGCAGCCCCTCAGCCAGCCGGAACGGACACGGCTGTTAGGGAACAAGCGGAGCCTGAGCGGGAGCGCTCACCCTTTCCGACCCGGAGCTGCTCTGTGAAAACAACTGGGGCCTGCGGAGCCGTTGTGTGTGTTTGCGCACGGTGTTAAATTTCCAGCCCTTAGGAATTGCYGTCACGTTCATGCTCGGAGCGTGAGATGTGTCGCTCGTTTTCTACGGGGGCCAAGGGGCCTCATTTATCTGGAATTATTTATTTGCCTGCGTGCTTGTACCCAGCTGCTCAGATGGGGCTTTCAGGGTCCGCTGCCCCGTAGCCAAAATTTGGTTTATTAGCAGCAGCAATAACAAGAACACCTCAGGGAACACTTAATACAATGCCAAAATAGCCAAATATACCAGGATTTTTCATGTTCAATGGACTGGGGTGTTTGTTTTTGTGTTCCYCTCAGATAAGGGGAAATTCAGTAGGTAGCAACATGTTACTTGTGGGGTGACCTTGCTGCACATGGACATGATAKCATGAATCAGGCATTTCTGGAGGCAACTAAGCAAAAAGAAGCAAAAGGAGAGAAAGGAGGGAGGAAAAGGAGATTTGCACCTATTCAGAAGAGGCTGGGGCCTGCAAGCAGGATGGAAGCCCAAGGCTGCTTGTTTCCCCCTTCAGGAAACGTCTTCATGACCTTAAATAAAACATGCAATATCTGACATAGGCTGTATGTCATATTTTACATCTTGCTATACTTTATAGCACTACCCTAAAGAYAGAAAATATGTATAAATATAGCAGAGGGGAACATTAAAAACATGAGAGATATGTTTTACTTGCAGTTTTAATGTTTCACTTGCAAAATCAAGTATCCTGAAGTGTTCAATTTCATAGAAATAATTTTTCCAAACTATGYGTTTAGTGCAGAAATGGCTTTCACTTCCCACCTTTAGAAATGATCCAAGGAAATGTGGTTTGAGAAACCTTTAAGAARAGGGCGATATAATGAAACTTAATGTTCTACCATTGCTCATGGCTTGTGAGGCAGCCCCTCTCCCACTATTTTTTGATACTTGGCTTTGGGGAGATCATTGGATTTGAGCTGAGCGGGTTGGATGATGAAAAGGAATTCTGGCATTGCCAAGTTGGAGAAGGGAATTAAAGATTCATGGCAGCAGAGTAGGCAGCAAGGACAGAATGTGCAATTAGTCACCGGGGACGCTCCTGCTGTGAATTCCAAATAATCAATACATGGCTTTTTTCATAACATCAAGTTATAAATATATTAGCTCAGAGAATTGTGCTCTGCGCTCTAGGTGTAGTGTTACGGTATGTTGTAAGCATATAGTTGTATATGTAAAGAAAAGCATTCATGACAGTGAGGTAAGCAGTTAGTGCTTAATTGTAGCTAGACTAAATTATTGTTATTGCTAGACTAAGTTTTTGTTTGGATTTTGCACGAACGCTGAGTTCTCAATATTTGATTTGGAAAATTTACAGCAGTACTCAAACTCAGGTGTAAAATTAGCATGATACATCATTAGTAAAGGTGCATAAAATGGTTATTTATGTCTACATTAAAATTCCTGTGCTGGTGTGTGCTGCACCATGTAAATAGTGGTGCATTATTTAGCAGCTGGCAGCATCTCAGGGAGATGAAGATGTTGCCTTGGGGCCATGTGTGCTCCGAACAGGAGCCTGTGTCCTTCTGGCTTGGTCAAGGCAAGCAAAATGCACAGAGATCTCTTCTCTGGCATGGCAAGGTACACAGCTATAGGGTCTGCTCATTGATGGTCCTCTCTATGGAGCTGACCGTGGCTCATACCACCCACAAGAATAATCCTTGTCCAGTGCTGTCTCCTATTGCGCTCGAGTGCCTTGAGGATACTGGTTGGCATAGGCTAAGAAATACTGTATATGAATAGAAATATTACTATTTCTTTTGACTTCTCTGAAGGCACAGCAGTAATAGATGACCCTTGGAAAAAGACCCTTCCACCTTTGCTTTGCATCAGTTCCGTTGTTTGAGATTACTTTGTGGTCAATCCATAGAGCCACAACTGCCTCGAGCAGACTTGACATCTTGGCTTCAAGTCTTTCCATTAACATTAGTGAATTTTAGATCATATTGGAGGAAGTTTTCTTATTCAGATAATGGTTTTTTTACCTCTTAGGATAGAAATTGAGTGGTTAAGATAAAACTGGTAGTCACATCATGTGTCTGCAGGAGAAGCAGAAATTCGACTAAATGTCTGGAGATGTTCAGTGTTCAGTGTAATCATGGAATCAAAGAAGGATACAGGTTGGAAGGGAGTTTTGAGGGTTGTGTGGTCTAACTCCACTGCCATCAAAGTAGGGTCAATTTAGTGTTTTTTTTTCCAGGTTCTTGCCCAGTCAAGCTCCGAGCATCTCTAGAGAGGGAGAAGACACTACCTCCCTGGGCGCCTCTCCTGGTATTTACTGCCTGTACAGTGAGGCAAGTTGCCTCATATCTGATCAACATTTCCATTCTTAGGAGTTTTGCCCCTTGCTGCAGCAAGAGCCACCCTTAGTCTTCTCTCAAATCCAAAAGAATCATGTTCTGTCCAGAGCCATCCATCTGGATTTCTTGGGGTTATCCCATCCGGGTGGGAAACTTGGTGTTTTCATCACATTCCTGATCCTAATCAGAAGTGTCTTGAACTTCCTAAGTGTATCTGTAACAAAGGAAAAACCTGACCCTGCACCTTTTACTCTTATGCTTATTAAAGCTGGATCTAGCTCTTGTTTTCATTATCAGAAGTGTCAAAGCGTGTTCCACTTGTGTGCAGCTTCAAGGGAAATAAATTAGAGTTGAGGAAGATGCCTCTCAACCAGGTCCTGGTTTCTACTGCTCTGTCTCAGTTTGATTAAATCAATCCTGGGCTAGGCTGGGAATAACAACAAGTGGATTTGATTAAATTGGACTGTTTGGGATGAAAATGAAATGCCCCTTCACTAATAAAACGTTCCATGTTTTTGTTCTTTTTCATTTGATTTTCATCTCCGTAAGAATTTTCTGTATTAGAGAGCAGAGGTAGTAATTCAGGTTTGTGGTAAAACTAAAGATGTTCTAGGGCAAAAGCAGCCTGCTCAATATGTTCAAATGATTTAAAAAAAAAAGAAACTGTGATTAGAGTCGGGTATGTGGCTAATCTTTGGGGCTGCTGCTAGTTTTACAGCAGATCGAGTCCTCCCTACTATATAATAACTCAGAGCTTGTTGATTTTAAGACACGTAAATGGGTACTCTGGAAGAGGAAGGTCAAAATTTGAACTTCATGTTTTGCCAGATACTCTTTAATCTTGCTGTGGTTTTTTTTGAGTAGAAAGTACACAGCTTTTTATCCTGCCCTTGGTGTTCTTCCCATGGTTCTTGTGACTGCAAATTACCCTAGGACATGCCTAAAAAATAGTAATACTGATGTAGTTAGAGGTGGAAGAAATGGCCCATACTAACATCATTTTGATTCTGTTTTTAGCCATCCCAGTCGTCATTTTGGTGGTCTTTACCCTGCTACTTGAAATGGGGGGGGCGGTAAAGATGTCATCCTTTTCAAGCTAAACACAGTACCAGTGTGTTTGATCCTGCATCTCCTTCATTGGAGATGGGTATTTAAATCTTTGTTGACATGTATTCATAACACTCAGTAACACAGTTGGAATTAGGTGGCTCCAAGCAGCTGCTGCTGATGCTTGTGTCCCCTGCAGCCTCTCACTCCACTTGCTTTAGGGTTTCACTATTTCCTTTCATGTTGCAGTAGCTGTATAAAATGCCTGATACTATGCTGAAGTTCACAGTATCCTATAATCTGTTGTTTTCACAAGGAATTGTGTGCTTGGTTTTGGGTGTTTATTGCAGCCAGCAGACTTTGCCCAAACTGTGGACAGATTTGCACCAAAATCAGCACCCCAAATTATTTTTTGATATCACCAAGACTTAGATTGTAGTGTGCTTAGAAATATGTTTTTCTCCTTTGCACATGGCAACATGGTGAATATCAGTAGTTTCTTACACTAGTTGAGCCACTGAACTTGTAATTTCTAAGACTTCCTCCTTAAATATTGAAATGTTAGCTTGAAGAATAACAAGTTTGTCCATTACTTTAAATTTGGGATGCAAACTAGGATTTATCAAGAGGAAGTTGTCAGGGCTGATACCATGCTAGCATTCACCACAGAAAATTGCTCTTGTGCCCACAGGAGAAATCTGAAGCTTGCTCTTTCTTCCTTTGCCTTTTTTATTCACGCTATAGCTGCTTAGGAAGGCATAAACTGTTAAAAACTAGGTTGTTTGGAAGATGTTGATCTCCAAAATGTTAAATGCTAAGAGGGCTCTGGAATGCCTCTGTTTGTAGTATGAAGAGTATTTCTAATATGAACTTGAAGTACATGCTTGTTTTTTTATCTTCTCAGAAATCTGGATTCTTCAGCTCCTGTTCCATGAGCTGTTTCCTGTTGGAGAAGCCAGAGGATGCACCCAGTGTAAGTACTTGATTTTTGCATCACCTATCACATCTTTTCCAAGTCCTGATTAGCAGACTTTTWAATTACTTTTAGCTGTCAGTGTTTTGAATTGCTGCTCTTTGAGAAACAAAATGTGAGTTTATGTTCTGTAAGGGAACGAATAAATACCTTTTTTAATGTCGTTTGCTGTTGGAGTGATGGGAGCCCTGTCTCCTAAGGGATTTCTTGCTGTCTGAGCAGCATCCTTAAGCTTTAGGTACTGGTTAATTCCTTGTAAATGAGGCTGCTGCTTGGCCATCCTTTTGGACCACTGCAAATTCACAATGTCACGGTGCACATAATACAATCTGTGTTCACTGTATGCGGAATGAATTACAAAATATTAGCAAATCTTCCCTCTAAAGGCCTTTGGCTAAGCCATAAATCAACAAAGGGTACGCGGATGAAATGTTGTAGCCCAGGGTTATTACCACACATGAGGCACCATCAGAGGGCTCTAATCCCTCTCAGGAAGAGTAATTTGTTACAGCAACATCCTCTGAACTTATTWATACCAAAATTATTGGGGTGAAACATTTGGCAAAGCGGTATTAGCATTGCTGAATAGGTTGCGTAATCACTACCCTTATATGAATTCATGGGAATACTCTCCTTAATGAAGCCTTTCACAGGATATAGCTATAGGGTTTTAAGCTAGGGCGCAGTGGAAGCTAAAATATCGTTTGATGCAATTGGACAATAAAAATCTTTGCTTTTCGTTTTAATGATGGAAGATGAGAAGAGTTTAACTGACCTAAGCATGGAATTCTAGGTTAAGCTTTGCCTGTAATTCCTCTGTGCGCTTGTAATTCTTCAAAGTAGTTTTCTGCAGGCATTAAAACTTCTAAGCTGAGGTAAATGATGTCCAAGGGAGGCTCTGATCTTACCTTTGTTCGTATTTTCCTGGGAATGAGTAAAAATATTAAGCTTTCTTTAAAAGAATTCAGTGTTCTGTGTGTGTAGAGAATTTGTTCTACATTAAGTGGCTGTAGGTGGCTATTTGTTGGGTTCTTGGGCATTCAAGGCATGGTGTGGATTGATTGGAGGTAGAGAAGAGATCTTGCAGGTCGGAGAGCATGCAGGTCACTTGCATTCTGACCAGACTGAAAAACAACAAGCAACAAGTTAGTAAAAAGAGTAGCTGAGAGCCATTATGGCCAATACTTTTGCCCCCAGAACGGTCAGGTTATAAAGAGCAATAAAGTGGCTCGTGGTGAGAGGTGTCCCGTGTTATTTCCATATGTTGCTTCTCTTCAAGGTAAAAGAGTAAACTGCACAGCCTTTAGAGAAAGCTGAGGTGGGAAACCAGCTCAGAAACCCATGTCACCTTCTCTCTATATTGGATTAGAAAATGCTCATCACACTTCCAGAGTCAAAAAATAGCTGAAGATCCAAGGTAATGGTGGATACAAGTAAAGTCAACTAAATGTAGGCAGTTGATAGCCAACTTGTGCAGTGTAAATAGGCAATTACTGAATATGAGTTGGTTTTTTGGGTAGCCTCTTAACTCCAAAAGGTTTCCAAGAAAATAGCTGAGAAACTTTGTACCTCAAACATGACCTATGACCACAGCTGAGCAGAGTCATTTGRTTCTGTCTTTTTCCATAATTTGCCTGATTCTACCCCTCCTTTGAGTGAGGAGGAAATGCCAGTAGTGGAAAAACCATAGATTTGTGAGTCTGGATGTACTATGTGTTCTTCCTGTGACAGTCTRTGCTCTCAGTGATAGAGGATGTTGCACTTGTGAACTGTAAAGACTGAGTAGGTTGAGTAATAAGAAACTGGAAGGACTCCCAAAAAAGTTGATTTGAAGAGCAGGTATTGAATTATGTGSGGTTGAATAGCTCTGTTTCAGCAAAGTAAGACCCAGTTTCTTAACCCTTTGCTCTTAAACGTAGCACTACCCCTTTGAGTCGTTAGGCACAAAGATGTTTGTGCGATGAGGTGATTTGTGCATATGTTTTCTATAGCATCTGGCAATTTCACATTCTCAAACATCAGAGCATCTCCTGTACCTCCTTATTGTCTACAGAATTGTGAACGTTTTCATTGGAGCAGGAACACATTTTTGGAGCTCCTGGATGCCTGGAACTGCTGAAGCTCTGGCCCTTGTTCCTTACCTTGAACCAGCCCATTTGGGCACCGTTTGTACATGGATACCCCATCAGATTTATACAATATTGGCCAGCATTTACCTAACAGGAATACCATAAACCTGTAAAAGAGTTACAAGGGTTCCTGGTAGCCTCAGWAAAACTTCAAAAGCCTTCGGTCTACTCTTGTTGCCCAATTTCATCATCTCTTTTTCCTCTGCGTATTTTTGAGGCAAATGCAAGCAGCAAGGTTCTGCCAGCCATGTGGTCTCCATTAACTTGTTGAACTTAAGAAACTTATAACACTCCATTAGAATGATTTCCCATTTCCCTAAGATGCCCTGCCACAAATCACAGAGCAACCTCATGCAAAGCCTTGCTTGCTGGTACCTGTAAAGATTATAGTCCTGAAGAAAATGGCTTTTCCTTTGGAAGAAAAGTTTAATTTGGAGCTGAGGCCCGGAGGCGGTGCAAGGGTCTGCTCCAAATTATGGGAGACGAATCAAATGGCCTGAGGTTGTGTTAGTTGAGATTGATTAAAACATCAGTTGGGCTTAATCCTAGTGGTTGTGGAAGAGGAATATAAATTGTAAGCAGAAGGTTAGTCCTGAAAGAGAAGATCAATAAGTGCTCTCAGAAAACTCCAGTATTGCGTTGCATGTGAACTATGAACTTGTTTAATAGGAGCTGTGCTAGAATGACTGTGATCCATATCAGGAGGGAATGATTARTATTTTTATGACATTTTATTACGAGAAAATGTAACTCCGTTTTTCAAAACTGTGATTGCAGTGGCTATTTTTATAGGGCTCCTTGAAAGGCTTTCCTCAGAATGAATCCAATGCCTTTTCCTTTGTGTGAATTGAATTGAGACTTTTAGTTAAAGAATGATGAACAGTAATTAGGATATAAATTATTTAAAGGTCTTGTAGCTTAAGCAGACATAAAAAAAACTGGCAGGCAATTAAATTGCCTGTAAACTCCAGGGGATACTGGTGGGAACAGGTGGAGGGGAGTATTTTATGAGACTTGGGGACAAGCTGGAGGGCTYGGGAGGTGGTGGCATGGGGATGGAAACTGGCATTTCTCAATCTAATGCTGGCTTAACGAGATGTATAGGAAACCTTATTGCCCYGGTGCACGGGTCCCCGTGGGGCAGAGCGAGGCTCGAGCTTCTCATYTAGGGCTCCAGATGGGGCCGGGCTCTTGGAAAGCTTTTTGCTCCCGTCCATCCCTTTATGTGCATAAATATCCGTGCAAAGAGAGCCTGGATAAATAAGCAGAGCTTGGCAGCATCCACAGGCTTAGTAGAGAAGTGCAAATGCATTAAGGCTCTCATATCTTGAGCCCATGCAAGTGCAAAACTTGGTAAATATTGCTGTGTTTTCTACTTCATAAAAACAAAACTCTTTTGTTTCAAACAACATCATTTATTGTTTGTTTTTTTTAATGGCAGTATTTCAGCACTAAACAGCTTCCCTAGAAAGGCCTGTGTGGTTAATGGAAAGCCTGCAATTATTTGTACCTGTATAGAATCTGGTTGTAGAAATATTGCCTTTTTGTAATGTGTGCCAGTTAAATTGAGTCAGAGATTGGCTTTTTATTAGCTCTATAACTGTGCAGTATGTGTGCATCTACCTGTCTTTGTTCTCATTAAATAATGTTTTAATTTACGGTAAGGATGAGATCCTAAATGTTAAACAGGCTGTTTTCATAAGTGTATGTGTAATCAAAATATACAATATTTTCTTCACTGAAGAGCAATGTCTTTTTTAATGACCTTAAGCTTTATGCTTTGAATTACACATGGAAGCTGAAGATACACAAGTAGCAAGTAAAAAGCTACTGTGATGCCTAAAGCTGTGGCCTTAGGTTGTGGAGTCAAGTGACAGGAGGCTCTATTGGACAGCAAAGGCTGTGCTGCTGAAAAGCCTTTAGTGCTGCCTCTGTGCAAGGTGTCTTTAAGGGGAAAAATTCATTTTCTTTGTATGCCTGTTCTTTAACACTCATGAACTGTCCACGTGTAGCTTTTTTTCTAAATCCATAGTTTTGAGGGCTTGGCTAACGCTCTGAGTTTGCAAGGTAGGGTGTTTGATGCTGGATCCTTCGATTCCGTAGGCTCAAATGTTGGGCTAAAATGCAGCAATCCTTGATTTTGGTGGGCAGGCTCAAGCAGAGCAATATTGACCACCTCTCCTAGAAGTGCCTTGGTTGGCCTGGAGACCTCTAGGCCTTTGGAGGAGAGTAGATGTTGCCCATGTGAAAAATCAGCTCTGTGCTTTGCCAGCCCTACATGTCACTGCAGCCAAGTGTGCTACAGCCTAGATGTTTTTACAAGAGCTTTCTCTTCTGAACCCTTAAAATCATGTTAAAATCAATAGGGGCACATGGGAGTAAGCTGAGGCCTGATAGCTGTACAATGTGCAAGTAAAATGGTACCTTTTTTGATGTAAAATAATACTGTAAATTCCTACAATTCTGTTTTCTCTTTAYAATGCACATCAGATTTCTTCAGTGCAGAAACACTTAAAAACTGCAGAACCAAAGAATGGATTAGGTTTAAGTCTTTGGAAGGTTTGTACCCATTAAACCCAGACCTATTTGTTTAAACCTGGCTGTATATAGCTGTTAGTAATGATAAACTATTTTGCGTACCCGAGGAAATCTTTTAGCCTGCTATATCAACTCATGTGGGGTGAAGGGTGCGTAAATCRGCAAAAACCATTTTACCCCTAATGAAGACTGTGATATGTTTGCAAGGAATATTAAAAGAGAATGAATAGGGTTACTAGGATTTAATTCTTTGAGGAATGGAAATATGACTAAATATGGAGATCAATAATACATATTCTTGCTGAGGAAAGAGTTTCCTTTTCAGCTTTTTACCATAAATTTCAAGATAAGGTTTTAAGAGCTCTGTAGGTTTTTTGCTTATTTCCTTCCTGTTCCTGTGGGAAATGACCATGAAATCCCACGGGTTCGGATTTCAAAACCACCTCAGGTGAGTGCTGGTTTTATTCAGGTTTTTCCTTTGCCCACAAGCAACCAGCTTTTTTCAGTGTGTGACACCAGTGGGGTCYACAAATTCCACTGTTTTGGAAGATTTTGTGCATTTGGGAGGGAATGACATGGTGAAATAGATGGTAGTGACTAAAAAGGCTCATATATGAATGAAATTGGCGACCATTATCTTGTCATAGTTGTTATAGACCTTMACTACGACTAGGGTGCACCTACACAAGTTACTGTGTGTGTGATATAAAATAACCTYGTCCCAGAAACATATGAAAAAATGATATATGAATGAAAGCATTCGTATGGGGAAAAGGAAAGCAAAAAGCAAGTGGGAAGGGAAAACTAGACCTATGGACTTCCTTACTTGGGACATCTTGCAGACCTCTTAGTATAGAGGAGAGCACATGGATCTGCATCTTGGCTGCGTGGCTTGTAATATGCACAAGATGACACACGGAGGCCTACAAAACTTACTCCCAATAACAACTTCATGCCTTACCATCGGAAATCTAGCCCTTGGGAGCTGGTGTCATAACCAGGGCTGGAGCTCAGTGCTGCACAACTCGGTAGTTGTGTAATCATCACCTGGCAGATCTTGTTAGCAGAGGCTCTGTGGAATCCGTGATGTAATTTTGCTACATGATTCTGGCTTGAAAGTTAAAAGCTCTAAGGATAAAATGTTCTGGCTTCCGCCCCCATTTTCATTGGAATGTGTGTGTGTCAAATGACTCATCTTGATCCTTGCAGGCTTCTTGAGGTGCTTAAAACTTGGAAGATGTATCTGGTTATAACAACTTTCCCCACCAGCAAGCATAGAGTAAAGTGGGAGGACAGATCAGGTTGTTTCTATCTGCTTGAAATGCTGTTTTGGCAAATAGCCTGCCACAGTTGTACATGGGAAGCCTAGACCGAAAGGCCACACGTGGGTGCTGAGTTTTGGTGCTTGAAACTTTCCCCACACTTTTTCCCTTTAGATGCAAGCCAATTGCCTTCAACACACAGATCCAGCAGACACCTTAGCAAAAACATGTCAGACTTTGTGCCTTTTTGTTATTTTTCAGTGCTTACCCAGTAACTCTGAGTTTAATCCTATTTTTCTTTTTAATTTTTAGAAGTTGTGGGGCTCTTGAGCTTCCCAAGAGCTTAAACAGAGCCTGTTAGACTCCATCAGACTGGCAAACCAGTGGCCTTTGCTCTTTTTTTCCTTTTGTAGATGCTGCTCAGGTTTCAGTTCTATCACACAGTCTGATACTCCTTGGCATTATCCTTGTGTATCCATTAAACTAATGGATAATTTGAGGATCACTTTGTTCCTTTTTCCTCAGTGTTGCTGCACTCCATTTCTGTCACCACCTGCTCCATAGTAAAGAAAGAGAAGGCATAAACTCCCAATTCCTGATGTTTTTCAATAGTTGAGCTGTTTTCCGCCTTGTCAAGCGATGTTGACATGGTATAGATCCATAGGAGGTGATATTCTTATGGATGATGCCTTTGTGATGTGAGCTCAAGTAGCAGTGGCAGCAGCAGAAGCAACTGAGGTGATAGGACACTTAGTGAATGAAACAGAAGAACTTGCAGAACCTGTGAGAATGCAACCCAGAGGAGATCCTATTGCCAACTTTCTCTTTGATAGCTTTTCTTTCTTTTTAATTATACTTGACATTTGTCTGAGRCTGAGTTTTGTTACCTGGAAGTGGTTTGTGGCTATGTGCAGAGGAAATGGGGTCTGCTCTGATATGGGAACATAGACAAAAAATACACCAAAAAAAAACCCCCTACAACAGTTGGGACAAACATTAGTGAAGTGCATATGACCCTTCCTTGCCCACAGTGGCTAGCAGAATCTCAAGTGCTCCATTCCTGGTCATGGCTTAGACACAGAATCCAGTTTCATTGATGTCTGTCCTTGATTTGAGCTATGTTTAACTCTTCTCTCCATATGTTCAGTTGACAAAGGATACCAGGCTTGGCTTTTGAGTTGAAATGGTCAACGCTTCTCTCAGCTGGAATCTGTCACCTCCAGTACTCTCTCTACAATCCAACTTAGACATTTTTTCCCTTTAATTTCACTAAAAAATGGAGAGTATACAAGCTTGTCAGGCAGTCTGCAGTGTTTTCACACCAAGTTCCTTACACCTGTGTTCGTCACGTATCCTGGAACACATCCAGGTGCTTGTTTTCACTTGCATGGCCTTGAAGGAGGTTTCTAGCAGAACAC